ACTACTTTTTACACTAATAAATTCGTAAGGGTAAAAAAGTCTTTTATCTGTACTTTTTAGTGATTATCAATCTAATATCAATATTCATTAAATATCATATCCAACCCAATTAAAATTATAATTTTGGGATTGAATGAATATATTTTAGGTTGAAATCCACCAGAGTATTAGATAACTTTCAACCAACAAACTCTATTTGTATAATTTAAATAATAAAAATATTATTTTTACGGTAATCATAACTCTAGTTTTTTACTTAGATTCTTCATATGTTTTAATTTATATTATATTTTACAAATTTTTTATTTAAAATTCACATATTATTTTAAAAAAATTTAAAAAGTAAAAAAAAATCAAAATTAAAAAAACTAATTAAGAGCGCAACACCAAACATCATTAATGACGATGAATTGGAGTTGGCTTTAGTGTATTTTTTTTTCCTTTTTCTTTTTTTATACGGTGGATTTGAGTTTCATTTTAATTTGAATTTAGGGAAAGTATTGTTATTTAATTGTGATCTGAAAATAATCTAAAATAAAATATTAATTTAATTTTTTGTATAAATAATATTTTTTAATTAAAAGTAATGTATTTTTTTTATTAAAAACAATATAGATCAAATAATAATATATTTTTATTTGAAGTAAAAAACAAATACGACCAGAAACTTATAGTCCTCTTGGTTTTATTTGAAAAAAAAGTAGATAATTATTGTATGTAGTGAACGATGGATATGAAATTATGAATGTGTTAGATGTGACGTGAAGTAATAATTTATTAAAACTAATATTAAAATAAATAAAAATATGTATATGTGATAGTAGTGTTAAATACTAAATTGAATTGACACGTAATTTGTCCTTATTTTTTATTTTCGTTCGTCCCACTTAACTTATTCTTTCTATTTTTGAAAATATAATGATGCACTTTAATCGTATTTTAAATTTTATAATTTTTTTAATTTTAATTAAACTATTTACTTATTTTAATCTTAATCTATAATTATTTTTACTAAATAATAATTATTTTTACTAATACACTTTTTAATTATTTACTAATTATACTTTACCTAAAATCCCGTATTTTTTGAACACATCACATGTAATATATGCTTATATACATAATATTAAATGAAAAGATATCATCATTAAAAACTCAGACTATAATAAGAAAATCAAGTAAAAATTAAATACAAATAATATAGATACATAATTATTTTATAATATCTATTATCATTTTTTTTTGAAAAAAAATAAATTTTGGTCCACGCATAATCAAAATTCATCAAGTTTGGTCAAAATATAAAAAATTCATCAATTTTGGTCCCAATATAAATTATTTCAATCAATTTTAGTCTCACCATTTAAAAATAAATCTAAATTGATGGCGTAGATATATCAGAAGTGATGTGGACGCTGACTTGGACGAAACACGGCTGTGTACATTAAAACAAGCCCGTGTTAACAAGCTGAATCAAAATACACTGCCATGTTCCGTTATTCACGGCCGTGTATATCATCACTGCTTGCCCGCCACCATCAGCCACCGCCCAAACCTTGCCGTTCACCGACCGACGTCCAGCCAGAGCCCAACTGCCACGACCCGGCCACTGCCCAAACCTCGCAGTGATGATATACACGGGCGTAAATATAACGGCCGTGTTTCGTCCAAATCAGCGTCCGCATCACTTCCGTTAGGATCTACGTTATCAATTTAGATTTATTTTTAAATGATGCGACTAAAATTGATTAAAATAATTTATATTGAGACCAAAATTGATGAGTTTTTTATATTTTGACCAAAATTGATTTTTTCCCCAATTTTTTTTCCTTGGTTATGGTATTTAATTACCAAATATTGTGAAGCATTAAACACTTCAATGTTTGTGGTTATATGTAATATATATATCTATAATATTTAAAAATAAAAAAGTGAATATTCCACAGCCATAGTATTTATATTATCGACGCAACAAGAAATATATGTCAACTTTGTCTGCTTCATTGACAAAAGTGGAGCTTTAAGATAGGTGCACGTAAATTTATCTACAATCAGATTTTGACTAAATAATTATTTGTGTAAATAATTATTAACATAAGGATATTATTTATTTCTTCGTCAAATTCAAAATAATTAAACAATACGAAACGAAGGGTCAATTTAACAAATCTTTTGGCTTTATTATTATTAATTTTATTTTTTTACAATTTTAAATTTAAACTTATTATTTATTCTGCACAATTTTTAATAAAATACACTACTTTTTTTTTTTTATCAAAATATTATTTATAAAAAAATTAAAATTAATATTTGGGTAAATTGCTTTTCTAGTCTCGTAATTGGATTCTCTTATCATTTTATTCCCGTAAGTGGAGTCTGTCGCAAACTAGTCCTCCGACGAGCCATGCGAGCATGTCCGGCGCCGTAGGACGAAAATAACAAAAACATTTCACTTATGAAACTAGTTTGCGACATGCTCTACTTACGAGACTAAAATGATAATGGGTCTGTTGGAAGATTAAAAAAACAGTTTACCCTTAATATTTTATATCAAATTACAGCCAACAAATTTTATTATTTATTTATTTTTATTTAATTAGTTTGGACTTTGGAGCTGTTTTTACAACAACAACAACAACAACAATAATAATAATAATAATAATAATAATAATAATAATAATAATAATACTTTTTTTTGTCCTACTATAATATTGTTATTGATTTTTATGTTGATATTTTAATATTAATTATCATATCAAAACGTAATATAAATAAAAAAGACAAATATATATTTATGAGTCTCTTGTAATATCAATACAATGACATTTGTAGAGTAAATTATACAAATATAAAAATATTTTTAATGTCAAGTACAATAACACAAAAATTAAATACAATTTTGCAGCGGGACGGAGGTAATAATATTACTATAAATCATAGGGTTACTTTTTATAAATTAAAATAGTTATTTGTGAGGAAATTTTTTTAAATACTATAATTAGAGTTGTTAAACGAACCGAGTCGTTCGTGAACTCAGCTCGGTTCGGTTCGGTTAAAGCTCGTTCGCGAACATTAACGAGCCGAGCTGAACAAAATAAACAGGCTCGTTTGGTTAACGAACGAGTCCGAACTTTGTTTGCAAACGCTCGTTTAAATAATATAATTTATTATAAATATTATATATACATAAATTTTTTTTATAATTTATATATAAATTTAAAAAAATAAGACAAACGAGCTCGAATGAACTTAATCGAGCCGAACACGAACACGAGCTCAAACAACAAAAATTCTTAACAAGCCGAGCTCGAACACTACAAACGAGCTCAAAAGCTTAACGAACGAACACGAGCCTTGCTCGCGAATGTTAACGAACACTTAAAATTTGGCTCGACTCGGCTCGAATCGTTAACCGCCCTAACTATAATGTAAGGGTTTGCCACTTGTGTTAGAATTTATATTTTTATAATTCAAACTATTATATTTCTTAAAAATATATCTGAAAATACTTTTTTTTCCAAACCCGAAAGTGATATAAATTTTTTAAAAATAATTTTGAAATTTATATTTTATAATTTAAAATTTTAACATTGTGTATTGTGTTAAAATTTATATTATCATGTAAAGTAATAAATATATTGAAGTGTTTAATATTAGAGTATTTATAAATAAATTGTTGATAAATTTAATGAAGAGCGATAAAGAGTAATAACATACGAAAAATTATTATTTTTAAATGCATCAGAAAGGATGACTTTTTTTTATTTTTTTTTAATATGTAAGAGTAATAGAGAAAGAACTATCAAGTCAATTCTAAATATCTTATTATGTTTTATTATAAATGTGTTTCAATTTTTGCTTGAAATTCTGTCTTACATAATTTATTAAAATAATCTTCGAATTATAATATTATCCTAATTCCTTCAAAATAAACGTATTCTCTTAGTATTATTTTATTTTGTCTAAAAGAAAATGATTAATAATATCTAATTATGCTATTATTACACAGGATTTTACTTAAGTTAATGCTATAATAATTAGAGCGGTAAACCGAATAAATAATTCACAAATTTTGGTTCAGTTCGATTCGTTAGAACTTGTTAAAAACTCGTTTGTTAAGCTAAATGAACCGAACACAAATATAAAGTTTGGTCGTTATATTTACGAATGAGTTCGAGTTTGTTTGCAATCGCTCAACGATATTTATTAACAAATTAAATTAATATTTATATTTAATAAGTATATATATTTTTATAAATATTATAGTTAATTCTTAATTTTTATTTAAAATTATAAAGAAAAATTATAATTATTATTAATTAAATTTATTTTTTAAAATAAATAAAAAATAAAATAAAAAAGTTTTCTTAATGAATCTAGTCGAACCAAACACGAAAAAAAAATTAAATTAAATGAAGGGAGTTCAAACAAAAATTTCAGTTTGTACTTTTTAATGAATGAAGAAGAGCCGAGTTCGAGTTCGAGTTCTTACCGAACCGAATTCAAACATGATAAATTCAACTCAGTTCGAATCGTTTACACCTTTAGTAATAATGCATAGTGAATATGCGATTAAGTTGAATATAATAATACTCTTTCCGTCTCAAACACAATGTAACATTTGACTTCGACACAAAAATTTAAGTAATTAGTATTAAGTATTAAGTACGATAATTTAATAATTATGTGATGTAATAAAAGATAAATATATATATATATATTTGGGGACATGATATGATAAGGTATGAGTAAGAAATTATATATATTTAATTACTTTCAAAGTTATAAATATTGTAAAATGTTTGACATGTATAAAAAAAAAATTAAAAATAAAAAAAAAATTGTTGGAATGGAAAAAATATTATTTATCATAATCAAAATGCACCATTAATAAATAAAATATAAAATATTATTTGATGCATTTATACAAAAACACAAACATATTATTCGAAATTTCCAATAATTACCACATGATGCCTAGAATATTTCACAACATAAATTTGAGTTCTCCAATGGAGATGGTCTAGACTCTAGGGTTTGTTCTTCTCGGTCCAAATCTAAGCCCAATGATCTACCGATATTGACGATGCCCATTACATTTTACAGTTTCTCGAGGGAATCGGCCCGCCGCTGCCGAAACTGCTATCCGTCGCTTGGTTTTGGTCGCTGGACGTGAGCGGAAACTGTGTCGCTTCCAATTCCGTCAGATTCGACTTCAGGTGAACGCGTCTGAATTTATTCCGAGGTAGGAATTCTTCGTGTGGTTCAATTTTGTTGTGAAATATTCGAACCAGATTTATCAATAATATTTTATTTATCTTCCTTTTTTTTTTTTTTTTTTTTTTCAATCTGTGCTATTTGTTTGCGTATTTCGTCCACTGTTTTTCTCGGAATATTTCGTAACGTGTGATGATTCGCCTGGTGAGTTTCGGGGTTCAGATGTGATATCTAAGCGGAGATCAGTAGTTTGTGATCTTGAGCGGATTTTACTTTGATTTGTTAGCTGAATCTTTTTTTAACCTAAATTATCTGTTCCTTGGTAAGTATTGTCATTCGCGTGCAATGGATTGCTGTTCCTGTGAATAAAAATTTAGGTTAATTTTGAACAGATTGCTGATCTGTTTCAAATGGTTGTTTAATTTATTAAAAAATGATATGTAGAGGTTAATTTTGGCTTCTCAATTCTTTCAAGGTGAGATTGATTTGTTCATGAACTGGAACTTAAGTCATATTCTTTGAATAATGAAGAAGGGTGAAGAAATGAAATAAAAAAAAATGAAAATATGCAAGAAGATTGGAGTAGATTTCCAGTATTACATTCGATACTTTTACCGTAAAAAAAGAAAATAAAATTCATTAAATAAATATGATCAAGGGTGTAGAAGTGAAATGAAATAAAAAAAATGATGATATACATGAAGATTGGATTATATTTCTAGCATTGCATTTTATACCTTTAGCGTAAAATAAAAATTGCCTATGTGCTTGGCGATATCATTTTTATACTAATGAACAATTTGTTTGTCGAATTTATCTCATACATGTAAATTGGATACTCAGAGGAATGTTTCTTCTCATTTTGTTTTGGTAATTCGTCGTCTACCCTGTAATGATTCTGCGCTTCAATTCCTGTGTAATAAGGAATGAGTTGTGTTTACTCATACAAACTTGTTTTCCATCCCTATTTGTCGTCATGGGTCCATGTATAATAACATATTTTTCTTCTAAAATATTTGGTTCGTGATAATATAATGTTTGATCCCGGCGTATTGTAACTACTGGTTTCTACCTTCTTCTAGCTTGTGGATATCTATACTGATATAGTTTTGATTTTGTTAAGTATCTATACTTTTATAATAAGATGGCCCTTAATGCGACAGCCGGTAATTAACTTCAATTAATCTCATCCGTGAATCAACCTTACATTCGGTAGAATTATGGTAATCCACGCCAAACGGTTGTACTTTTCAATGTTCAATATCTAACTCAGGTTTAAGATATAACAAGCCAAACCATTTTTGCCATTTGTACACATTGGAATTTAATGCCTAGTAATCAAGTAACTATCTTCGACCGTTTATAACCTATCTCACTTGATCAATCTGCTTTGATTTTGCTAATAGTGCGATTACCGATCAGTGTCTATTATAATCTGTTTGATCCATATTCAATGTCCAAAATTTTGTGATTCGATTGAGATCATTTTTCATTTGCTGTACTGAAATGATTTCTTATTAGAACACAAACAGGCTTGTACCAATGGCTGGGAGAAATCGGATGCCCCGCCGTCCTGATAATTATCGAACTGTCCATGAAGATCCGCGTCTGATTAGGGCACCAATGCCCCACCCACCCTACCCCCGAGCACTAGAGGAAGAACTCGAACTCCAGCAAAGGGACATTCAGAGACTTCTTGCTGACAACAGACACGTAATTGACGACAATGTGATGCTTCAGAGGAACTTGACTGCCGTGAAAGACGAAATCCACCGACTAAATCAAGCGATTCCTAAAATGCACGCCGACAGAGAGGCGCACAAGAGGGAGCTTATGGATAGAACGCTGAAACTCGAGGCTGACCTTCGGGCTATGGATGCTTTGAGATCCGACGCCGTCCAATTACGCGCGGAAGCTCAGAATCTGAAGTCGCAAAGGCAGGAATTGTCGTCGCAGGTTCAAAATCTCGGTAAGGACATCAGTAAGCTGCAAACTGAGAACAAGATTATTGCTTCTTTGAAAAGTGACATTGATAAGAACAGTAAAGAGCTCCTCGACGCCAGGTATGAATTAATAGTGAAAAAATCAATCATATTTCTGATAAAGCCATTGACAATTTCGTCCACACTTTAAGGAGAGTCTTCGAATATGAGAAGAAAGGGAATGAAGAGATCGTGGAGCAGAATCGACAACTGGAGAATACCATCGTTGCCATGGCTCGAGAACTCGAAAAGTTACGGTCTGGATTGATCAGTGCTGACTCAAGGGCCCGGGGTACGCAATTTTCTCGCTTTTTCATTTGGGTAAATTGCATGATACCCAGTGTGTTTAAGTATAAATGCACGCATTTTATTTATTGCATGAAATATTTTTATAAAAATTAAAGTATACACAAAACACTATTTACAAAACACTATTTTCAATGATATTTGGTTGCGAAGACAGACTTAATTATGCAAGTTTTAAAGTAATAAAAGAAGTAAAATGTTTTAAATAACATTATTCGAATAAACTAATTAATTAATTAATTAATCTTTCATTTTGTAAATTCTTTGTAAAGATTAAATAATTGTTAGTCTAAAAAAAACTATTAAATGAGTGGTTTATAAAGTAGTTAGTTATTTATTTTATTGAAAAAAAAAATACTATTTAAGTTATTTTACCATTTCTACTTATATAATTAGATTTGTTTTTACGTGCTTTTTTACATACTATTTCAATTTAATACAAGGTGTTTCATATATAAATAAAATATGAGATATTATATATATCATAAAAAAAAAAAAAAAAATCTTTACACATTTATGCAGGTGTTGGCGGGTATCCAATGGCTAATAGAAGCCCCGAAACACTGTATCCAGTCCCGGTTTCAGGTCCCGGTCCAGGTCCTTACGGCGACGTATACATTCCCCGATCCTGGGGGCCGTACGATCAACTCGGCCCTCCGCGACATTGAGCCTCGACTATCATGTAATTAAGCACCATAGTTATATATATATATGTTGTCTGAAAACTCAGCCACAATAATGAGAAATGGTTATTCGAAGGTTGGTGCATTGTCGTTTTTTGGGCGCGAAAACCGTATTATTTGGCAATGCCCAAAACCTTTTGCGTTTACTTTGTAGGATTGCGATATTTTCGCACGATTTGATATTATTACAATAGGTGGTTGCTAATATTTATTACAATACACATTCCGGATTTATGGCTTAATATTATTCGAAAAAATATATACATATTATGTATGTAGTATAGGGGAGGTGGCATAGTAGGATTTGCCAAACCTATTTATTTATTATGTACTATGACTATTTAGAGTTGATTTTGCCAAATTTCTTGATCAATTATGTTCCTCTTTTCTACTTTCGGTTTATTATTATTATTATTATTATTTAATAATTTTGGTTTTATTTATTTGTGTAGTAATATATATTGAAAATAAGAAGGCAAGGATATAATGTTATTAAACACACTATGTATAATTGTATCATTTAGATGATAGACCGTACAAGTAAATTGTCCACCCAATATAGCATATCAATTTTGTACATTCAATTCGATTCAAATTGTGACCTAACCAAAAATAAGTATTACTTCCTCCGTCGTTCAATTGTGTGATCATTTCACCGGACACGAGTTTTAAGAAAAATATGTAAAAATAAAAATTTTTACTTTTTTTGATAAAAAAAAGTGGTATTTTTTTACTAAAAAAGAAAACGGAAATAAATTTGGATTACAATAGATTTGAATGATTGAGGGAGTACTATATTTTACGATAATTTTATTTAATTTTTACTATTCATAATTTTTTTTAACACATACGTATTAAATTAAAATTTTATTTTTATATTACATTAAAAATTAATTTTATATTTAAAAGATTAAATCAATTTTTATTTATATTACATCAAATTAAAAATTTCGAAAAAACAACTAATTAATTCATCACAAACAATTATACTATTTGTTGGGACCAAAAAAATTAATTATAATAAAATACTTCACTGTGTTTTGATTAATTAGTTCATCACCAAGCTAGTTATTAAAAATATTCAAAATTTTACTATTAAAATTTAAGTATATCTCAACAACTTCAAAATAAATTAGTAAAGAAAAATTGTTTACTAAAGTAATACTCCCTTCGTCCCAAAATTATAGTCTTAATTGGATTGGATACGAAATTTAAGGAATATTGATATTATATTAGTAGTTGGTAAAAAAACGTGGATAAAAGACTTTTTTGCCCTTGTAAAAGTATTAGTGTAAAAAACAGTGGCAATTGTGTAATAAAAATAAAAAATTAGGGATAGTTTTATGGTGATATTGTTATTTATGAAAATAAGACTACTGTTTAGGAACGGACAAAAATGGTAAACAAAGACTATTATATTAGGACAGAAGGAGTATTTCTTTTATCCCATTTTTTTTTGTCTATTTTCCTTTTACGTAGATATGAGAATTTAGGTAAAATACAATTAGTGAATAATTAAAAACATATTAATAAAAATAATTGTTATATAATATAAATAATTATAAATTAAAATTTAAAATTTAAAATTAATTTAATTAATACTAAAAAAATATTAATTATAAAATTTAAAATATAATCAGAATGTATAATTATTTTTTTCTATAAAATAAAGATAAATAAAATATAACAAACATAAATAAAAATAATGGATTAAAAAATGGACAATGAGTATAAAAGAACACAAAACAAATATATACTTCATCCGTCTCATATCTATATAGCAATTTGCTTTTTGCAAGTTTTAGAAATATTAATATTATATTGGAATAAAATAGAAATAAAGGTAAAAAGACTAAATTACCTCTATTAGTATTGTATGATATAAAGATAATGTAATATATTATAAATTTGAAGGATATTTGTATTGTTAGATAGATGGTACAATTGCTAAAAATGAAATGAATATTTTGTTATAAGACGGACCAAAATAAAAAAATTAATAGATGAGTAAGGGACGGAAGAAATATTTGTTTAGTGGAGGTTTCCTTTGATTTTGTATTTTGTTTTTAACACTAATTTAAATGTAATATTTTTTGAGTGAAAAATAATAGTTCTATATTTTACTGGAATAGTAAAGATTTACATAGTAAAAAATAAATAATAATTATAACAAATATAAAGATATTTTTAATATTAAGTAAAATAACACAAAAAGTAAATAACATCTTTAGAATCGAATGAAAGAAGTATTTTTTTTTATATAAAATATTTCATAAAATATTACTCACTCTATAATATTTAATCTATCAACTCTTTCTATTTCTGTTCATTCCGCATCATTTGTTATTTTATTGTTTTGCAAATATAACTATATATTTTAAATTTCATGATGTATAAATTTTTTGTTTGAAGTAAATTATTTAATCATTTTAATTTTAATTTATCATTATTTTTACTAATATATTTCTTAACTATTTACTAATTAATCGGCATGTAAAATTTCCCGTCTAAATAAAAAGAAATATCTATCTATTAGGCTGTGTTTGTTTGGGGGTTTGGATTTTAAGTTGGGATTTTAATAGTAAAATTTTTGAATTTGAATAGTAGTACGATGTGATATAAATAGGTGTTGATGTGATGTTTTGAATGTAAAATTGATTTTTAGTATAATATAAAAAATAAAAAATAGGTGTTTGATTTGATATTTTTTTTTTAAAAAAATGGGATAAAATAGTAAAAATCTAATTCATTCCCCCAAACAAACACACCCCCAGAGCACTGTGCTATTTTTGTTTTCTATCTTCACTCAAGACTCCGATTATTAATAACTCGTCTTTAATTTTACTTTTTTTAAGTATGTCATTAGTTACCACATTTATTTCTGGTTTTAGTTAATCATGATTTTAAACTAAAAGTAACATATTATTTATTAATTAATTAAAGTATTTTCTTAAACTTGATAAGCCAAACTGAATTTACTTTCCATTTATAAATTGGACTATATTATACTCTCCGTCCCATATCTATATATCAATTTGTTTTTTTGCACGAAGTTTTAGAAATATTAGTATTAGTAGAAATAAAGGTAAAAAGACTAAATTAACCCTATTAGTATTGCATGATATAAAGGTGATGACATTTGTGTAATATATTGTAAATTAGAAGGGTATTTGTAATGTTAGGTAGATAGTACAATTACTAAAAAAAAAAAACGGATACTTTGTTATGGGACGAACCAAAATGAAAAAATGGATAGATTGTTAAGGGACGGAGGAAATATTAGTGTTTTAAGAAAAAGAATAAATAATTTATTTGAGCTAAACTCATTAAACATTTTTTTTAGTATCTCGACTAACTTCATCAAGATTTTTTTCAAAAAAAAAAAAAATTAAGTGAAAAAAAATCAAAATGTAAACGAATATGATCAAAATCTTGGCAAAATAGATATACAATAACTCAAATATATAAACATATAGAGCTAAAATTTATATCAGTGTTAGCTTTGTACTCCCTCCGTCCAATGGAATATGGGTGTATTACTGTAGACACGAAAATTTAGGTAAAATATAATTAGTAAGTAATTAAGAAGTGTATTAGTAAAAATAATTATTATTTAGTAAAAATAATTATAGATTAAAATTAAGATAAGTAAATAATTTAATTAAAATTAAAAAAATTTAAAATTTAAAATTTAAAATGCGATTAAAGTCCATAATTATATTTTCAAAAATAGAAATGACAAATTATGCGGAACGGACGAAAATAGAAAATATGGACAAATTATGTGGGAGGGAGGGAGTATATCATACTGATCAATTTTAACATACAGACTCTATTTACATAAATTGTTTTTATATTATTACGTGTGTCCCAATTTAATATACTCTCTCCTACCCTTATTTATTTATTCCTTTGTTTTTTACACAAATTTTAAGAATATTAATATTATATTGAGATATAGTATAAATAAAATCGAAAATATTATAATAACTTTATCAGTACCGTGTGATATAAATATAATGATATTTGTGTAATATATTGTAAGTTTTAAAAATATATTTAATGTTTGTAGAAATTATAGTTACTAAAAAAATAAATGAATATTTTGTTACGGGACATACCAAAATAAAAAAATTGATTGATTGTTAAGAGAATGAGGAAATATATTTTTTTCTGTACTAAATTAAAAAATAGTACTCTCCCCGTCCCATATCTATATATTCATTTGATTTTTGCACAGAGTTTTAGAAATAATAATATTATATTGAGATAAAATAAAAATAAAAATAAAAAGATTAAATTAACCCTATTAGTATTGTATAATATAAAGATAATGATATTTGTATAATATATTATAAATTGAAAGGATATTTGTAATGTTAGATAGAAAGTACAATTACTAAAAAATGAAATCGATGTTTTGTTATGAGACGAACAAAAATGAAAAAATAGATAGATTGTTAAGGACGGATGAAGTAATATTTTATTAATTAATAAAAACATATAAGATAGATATTTTTGATATTTTTATTTTTACAATTAAGAAAAATATATTTATAAAAATAAAAATATTAATATATAAATTAATTTTATTATAATAAAATTAATATTTTTTAAAATAAGAGAAAAATAATAATAATAAAAAAATATATTTTATTAGAAAAATAAAGTACTCCCTCAATTCCATATTTAGATATTCATTTGCTTTTTGCACAGAGTTTTAAAAATATTAGTATTATATTATAATATAATAGAAATAAAATAAAAATGATTAAAATAATTTTGTTAGTATTATGTGATATAAATGTAATAATTTACGTAATATATTATAAATTATAAAAATATTTGTAATATTAGATAGATAGTACAATTATTAAAAATAAAAAATATTTTATTATGAAACATACTAAAATAAAAAAAATGAAATGTTAATCAATAGTATACCTCCTCTTATATGAGGTGGAGTGAGTCTGGGAGTCATTTTTAACGTGTTTGAAGGGTCTGTTGATAATTCGATTATTTTTTAAAAAATATATTTTTATTAAATATAAAATATTTTATTATTTTTTAAAAATTTAAAATTTTGCAACTAGGCCGTGTATAAATACAGCTGCATGGCTTCCCGACCTTCATCACTCATCAATGGCGGAAGAAGGCTTACCACAATCCCCAAGCCCTAACCGCGCCAAAGCACTCGATCAATACCTCAACCGTTTCTACTTCTTCCTCCTCCTCATTCCGATCACCATAGCCACCGCCTTCCTCTCCCTCGATTCAATTCCCTGGAATTTCTCCTATTTCGAATCGATTTGCTACCTGCTCATGGTTGTCCTCGCCGCGAATTTCCTAACCAGGTGCAGGTCGCCGGCGACCTACCTCGTCGATTACGCGCTCTTCAATCCTCCTCAGCACCTCCGCGTCCCCTTCGCAACCGTCGTGGAGCACGCAAAACTCCTATTCGCCGACGAACCGGAGCCGGCGAAGTTCCAGTTGAAGCTACTTTCCCGCTCCGGCATAGGCGAACAGACCTGTGTTCCGCCGTCGATCTGGTACATTCCGCCGCGCCCTAGCCTCCGATTAGCCGGAGAAGAAGCAGAGCTCATCGTCTTCTCCTGCGTCGAATCGCTCCTCCGGAAGACGCAGATCCATCCGAGAGAAATCGATATACTCATCGCCAATTGCAGCCTCTACTGCCCCGTGCCGTCCATAACCGCCATGGTTATCAACAAATACAAGCTCAGAAGCAACGTCAAGAGCTTCAACCTCTCGGGGATGGGATGCAGCGCCGGACTCATATCCATAGATCTCGCGAACGACCTCCTCCGCACAAATCCAAATTCAAATGCGGTGGTAATCAGCACAGAGATTCTCAGCAATTCGTTCTATCTAGGTAAGGAACGATCGATGCTCCTCCCGAACACCTTATTCCGAATGGGCGGCGCTGCCGTGCTGCTCTCCAACAAACCTTCCGAACGCCGCCGCGCCAAGTACAAGCTCCTCCACCTCGTCCGAACGCACAGAGGCGCCGACGACAGATCCTACGGATGCATATCGTACGAAGAGGATCCCCAAGGCTACGCCGGAATAAAACTCAACCTAGATCTGATGAAAGTCGCCGGCGACGCGCTGAAATCGAACATTACTCGCCTCGCTCCGCTCGTCCTCCCGTTCTCGGAGAAGCTCCGGTACGCTCAATCCCTAATTTTGCACAAATTCGCAACCGCGAATGCGAAGGTATACTCGCCGGACTTCAAAAAGGCGTTCGACCATTTCTGCATCCACGCCGGCGGGAGAGCGGTGATCGATTCGCTGCAGAAGAAGATGGATCTGACGGCGGAGAACGTGGAGGCGTCGAGGTCGACGCTGCACCGATTTGGCAATACGTCGTCGTCTTCGGTGTGGTACGAGTTGAGCTATATTGAGTCGAAGGGGAGGATGAAGGGCGGGGATCGAGTGTGGCAGATTGCATTCGGGAGCGGGTTTAAGTGCAACAGCGCCGTCTGGATCTGCAATCGGACGGTCACAATTCCGGTCGAGGGACCATGGGCCGATTGCATTGATAACTATCCGGTTCATATTCCGGAGGTTATCAATATTTAATTAATTAATTAGTTATGAACAATAATTGAAAATAATACTCCCACTTTCCCTGGATTGAAAGTCTGTGTTAGTGGAGACGCCTAACGAGTACATAATTAAAAATAATTATTTTATAATATAAATAATTATAAATTAACATTAAGATAAATTTAATTAAAATTTAAATTAAAAAATTTAAAATAAAATTAAAATATTTAATATTTTTTAGAAAATAAAAGTGATATAAAATGTGTGACAGAGAGAAATAACAACGTGAACCCGTGGGATATAAAATGTTACCTCATATAGGATATACTCAAGAGCAAATGTAGTAAAGTAAATTTATGGTGTGATTGTTTGTTGAAAATTTACATGTGTCACTGCATGCGGGGTGATGACATGTCTACTGGTGCCATGTCAGCAATGGCTAATCAGTGTGATAAGTCTGACATTAGATAATTATTTTAACAAAAAAAAATTTATTTACGAAACTATTTTCAAATAGAATTCATTTAAAATTTTAAAATAATAAAAGAGGTCGAGACTAAAAAACTATTTACTCTAAATTGATTACACCTAACCCAAGTTAATGGCTTTCTCTAAACTTTTCACTCTAAGTTCATTGGACAATGCTTTAAGCCCAATAAACAATCCCTCGGCCCATTAAGCTACATTTCTGAGGCCCAAGTATCATAATCATATGCAAGCCCATATTTTATTCAATTTTGGATCAACTCTAAAAAATATAAATATTACTCCCCTTTCGCCACCTAAAAATATGTTCAAAACTTTTAGACACGGGTTTCAATACGAGGGTGTATATTTGAAAAGGTTTCAATAATAATAAAAAAAATTGAATAAATTAGGGAAAATGAAACAAATAAGAAAAAATTCATTAAAACGAGAATTCTTAAATTTTTTTATTAATTTAAAATTATATTTATATTTTGCATTATTATATTAATATTAAAAATATCATTAGTATTGCCGGCAGATGAAATATTATTTTAAAACATAATAACTTTAATATAAATTTTATAATATTTCAATAGTACATTTAAAAAATGTAAAAATAAAATAAATAAAAATTATTTCCTTTTCAAATTTCAATTCTATAATTCAGACATTAAAATATATACTCCTCCGAAATAAAAATTATATAAAAATGTTTTCATTTTTCCTATGCCAAACACATGTGAAATCAGAGAAAAAATCATTTATATTTAAATCTTAATTTCATTTGACTTAAACAAAAAAATAAAATGAAAACATTTTCATTTATGTTCTCCACTCCGTACCAAACATACAAAGCAGTTGGTGTGTAGTGTATTTTAACCAATTTTGATAATTAATTTAGAAAGTATTTTGTTGTCAATGTTTTGGTTCTACAAATATTTACATTATGATTATGTACCAAAGTCAGTGTTACATTTTCTTAATAATATACAGAAAAGAAGAACCTGAAACTAGTACGGTACAACACAAATCAACACACAAACGACGCTTCAATAGCAAGCCGACACGTGTCCACCATCTAGAATCATCCAGACTCACCGCACGATTCCGGTGCCTTACCCGAACCACCACCGCCGCCGGACTCATCGGAAAACTCCAGGGCGCCAATTTCAAGCACCGACGACGGAGAATCTCGTCTGGACGATGACTTCTCCGGTAAGCCGTGTTTGGCCTTCATCTTCTCCCCAATTTCAAACTTCTTCAAAAGGTACGCATTCGAGGCCTCCTCCGCCGTCGTAAAAGTCCCCAGCCAAACACGCCTCTTCTCGAACGGATCTCTAATCTCCGCCGCGTACTTGCCGTACTTCCGCCGCCGCACGCCGACGAACCTCCGCCGCACCGAATTCTTCCCAAATTTCTGCAAAAACACCTCGTGGACTATCCTCTTCGGCTCCTTCCTCTCCGCGTCGGATTCGTCGGAAGATGAGTCTGTAGCGTCCGGATCGGAGTACGAAATCCTCAATTTCTTCGCCGGAATTTCCATCAACAAGAGAGAGAGAGAATCGATTCGATCGACACAAAAATCGTTTAATTGGATAGAGACGAACAAAACCAATTTCGGAATAATAAATATAAATATAAAATATTAATATAAATTTACAGTTTTTTGCAGTGCGTGAAATGAGCAGAGTGACAGTGACTTCTGTGGTTATTTAAAGCATTTTTATCATTACGAGGTCCTGGGCTTCGTGACCTGGGACGTTTACACCGTTGATTGAGTCGGTTCTGCCGTGCGATGGACTGTGGGTTCTGAAGTCCCGGAGCTTGTAGGATTTGGGCAGTTTTGTGGGGAGATTTTTTGGGTTTTCACGCTTGGACTGAAGCCATGAACGAAGAATATACTGTTGGAATATTAATGGGTTTAGATTTAAATTTTGAAGTTCTTCTGGACTACTGTGAAATAATTTTTATGAACCCTAATGGGTCGATTGATAATTTTTTGGGCTTCTGAATTATTTAATATCTTTGGGTCCTTTGGGCCTGCTTAAGCCTGATGACAAGTTTTGGCTCGCTTGTACTTTTATTTTATTTTAATTTATTTTTTAGATTTCTATCCAATGTCTTTTTTTTTTCTTTATTTTATCTTTTAATTTAAATAAAATAAAATAAAATTCAAAACGACATAGAAAATTTTTGTTCATGTTTTAAAGTTTAATATTGTTTTAGGGTGATTTTGAATTGGTTAAAAAAAATGCAAAAGTAAAAGATTTTAAACTGTTCTGTTGTTAATTATGGTTTTAAGCATTTTCTTGACTAATTTAGTTTGCTCAAAAATAAGTTTTAGCATATGAATTTAATTAATCACGTCTTTGAAGTGATTATAATATTGAGAAATAGATTAATTCTATTGTATTTTCAAATTGATTTTCAATTAAACCCAATACACGAATCAAATAGGCTACGAACTAAGCTCGTTAACAACTTGATTCGGCTAAAATTATTCTTTCTGTAAATGATCCGAGCTCGAGCTTGGCATATGGGTAGTTTAATTGAGCTTTTTAGTGAAAATATATATTTTTTATATCAAAATTAATATTTATTAATAAAGTTTGAATGTTTTATATAATAAATTATGAATAAAATTAAATATATTTCCTTTATATATTAAAAATATAAAAAATTATTATATAAAATTCAAGCTGAATTCGAGCCACTATTATGGTCGAACTCTTAACAAGCCGTGCTGAGCCTATACTGTTAACAAGTTCGAATCCAGCTTGAATAACCGATACTCGAAATCGCTCAGCACTTTTAACAAATCTATTTCCAATGTACAATCTCACTTTTAATTTGAGTGCACTACTTTAATATCAGTTGTAAACAATTCCATAAATTCCGAAGAAGATTAAGGATGTGTTTGTTTTGTGAAATAGTTTTAAAAAATAATTTTTACTTGTAATATTGAGAAATTGTATAGACAATATAAAATGTTAGTTTTTTTTTTTTTTTTTTTTTGGCAAAAACAAACAAACCATAAAAGTGCCAACTTTCTATTAACACATGTACTGCGTGTAACAAATATGTATTATTATGTAATTAGAGGAAATCAAATTTCAGGTGTACCAAACATTACTACTTTCAGAAATATAAATTTTATGATAAATGTGGTTTGGCCGTTTTAAATTTTTACACTGGTTTTTACTATTTAATTTTACATCTAAAATAATATATATATATATGTATATTTTTTAGTAAAATTGATTTTTAATATAATATAAAAAAAATAAAAAATGGGTGTTTGATTTGATATTTTTAGGGGAAAAAATTTGTGTGAATAGTAGAAATTCACACAAATCCTTAAAACAAACACAACCTTAAATGGATAGTATATGTCACTATTTGCGTATTTCTCTAAAATTATTTTGTTAAAATAATAATTAAATAGTATCTATAATTTTCTGTTTCTATTTAAATTGGTGTAATAGATATATTAATTTGGTTGTGTCTGTTTTTTATTTAAAATAAAAAATAATATCACTTGAGTTTTAATAAAAGTATACTCTCTCCCTCTATAAGGGTCAAATTTACTTTTGCATCATTGTATTAACATGAAAAAAATCAATATACTTTTATAATTTGTTTTTGTATAAACGTCATTCTATTAGTATTATAAGATACCAATGAAAGTATTTTTGCAATTTTTTCTTAATTTATACCACGTTTTGATATAATAATTAATATTCAAATATCAACACGCAAAAAATAAATGAGACCCTTAGAGCCGAACGAAGGTAGTATTATTTTGATTTATGAAACTATTGTATTAAAATACTTCATCCATCTCATTTATCGTGTTCACATTTCTATTTTCGTATGTCTCACTTATTTTGTCACTCTTTTTTTGGAAAAGAATTATACACTTTAATCACATATTAAAAATTTAAATTATAATTTTTTTAATTATAAATAATTTTTTATCTTAATTTAAAATTATTTTATTATAAGATAATTATTTTTAATAATACATTCATAATTATTTATTAATTATACTCCTCATAAGTTATCGTATTTATAGTAAATAGAACACCGTAATCGAGACGGAGAGAGTATCAATTATTCAACTGATAACACTATGCATAATACATATAATATTATTTTTTTATTTTTTATTTTAACTTATCTAATAAAGAATGACTTTTGTATAAAATAAATTTGTGAGTGTAAAGTCAAAAAATCATAAATTCAAACTTCCGACTCCTCAATATAACATGTACGTCAATCATTCTTGATTGTCTCAAACCAGAAAAATAAAATAAAACTGTTGTTTTCTTATAAAATATCAAATGAAATTACTATACAAAATATTATATCAAAATAGAAAACAAATAAAAAAATAGATAAAATATCTACATTAATCTCTTATAATACTAATATAACAATATAAAAAATTATATAAATATAAAAATATTTATAATATTAAGTAGAAGAAGCAAAATATAAATATAACTCTCGACGGAGGAATATATAATTTATCTATCTCAAAATTTTTGCTATATTTGATTTTATTATATTTTTTCAGATAGTATAATTTTAATTTTTTTCTATTTTATTTATTTTTAAAATAATTTTATAAATTAAATTTAGAGGGACAAAAAAGAAAAATTAAATATAAATTTGAGATATTTTGAATTAATAATAATAATAATAACTGAAATTAAGATAATATAATATTCTTAATTTTCAGTTATAAAATAAATAAATAAAATATAATAATGAATTTTAAAATATAGAAACATTTTCTTTAGCAGCTCTTTTTGTATTTTATTATTATGAACTTTCAATACTTTAAAAAATATATTATTTCTCACAAAATATTATATTACCTCCATCAAAATATAGAAATATATGTTTATTTTTCGATTATAATTTTAAAAATAATGATATTTTAATTTGTTGGAGTAGAAACCCAAGTCCCACATTGGAAGTTGTGAAAAAAATTACACATCATATAAGTCTCAAGTAAACTCCACTAGTATGAGGCATTTTGTAGAATATCCAAAAACAAATCTGTGCGGGCTCAGCCCAAAGCGGACAATATCATACTAGTGTTGAGTTGGCCCAGTCCCAACAGTGGTATTAGAGCCCGGTTAGATGGTGGAGTGGACTGGGTGGCATTGGACATTGGTTGTGGTGGTGGTGGGCTCGCCCTCGGTCGAAAGTCTCCTGGCGGTGTTGGGTCGGTCCCGATTGAGGTGGTCAGGCAGCGGGTCCTTTTGTGATAGGCGGTACAGGGAGGGATGGGCTCGCCCTCGGTCGAAAGTCTCCTGGCGGTGTTGGGTCGGTCCCGATTGAGGTGGTCAGGCAGCGGGTCCTTTTTTGATAGGCCTGCGTATTTTAGATCATTGTGATCGAACTAGTCATGTGGTATATTGGAACTGCGAAGGGCACTGGAAAAAGATCAGGGTTCAGCAATCGCGGCGGATGAGATATCCAATACGCTGATTCTGAGCGTCAGCAGTCCAATGGAGTTATGGATTTTGCTCTCAGCAGCGTCATTCCACTTATGCAGTGATTCGGTAATCATGAAATCCTATACTGCAGGTAATTTTGGTGTTGTTTATCTTGCAGATGATGAGACACTTAAAGTTGTAGGTAAATGGATGGTTCGAATCGGAACACCAAATGGTCGGGAGTGGAGACTGAATGACGTGAGACATGTCATGGGTCTAAAACGGAATCTGATTTCCGTGGGACAATTGGATGAGGTAGGTTACTCGACAGTTTTTGAAACTAAGTCGTGGCAGGTAACTCAATGATCCATTGTGGTGGCCCAAGGGAGAAGAGATAGAACTCTTTACATGACGAAAAGCATGCAAGACGGAACCAGTTCCGTGGCCATAAATAATGACATAAATTTATGGCATTCTCGTCTCGGACACATGAGCGATAAGGGGATAGGGAAGCTCATGTCAAATGGAAGATTGTCAGGAGTCAAGTCCGTCAATATTGGAGTGTGCGAGGACTGTATCTTTAGGAAGCAACGAAATGTGGCGTTCTCAAAGGGTGAGAAAGACTTGGAAAAGGAAATGTTGGAGTTGCTTCATACGGACCTGCGGGAACCAACTTTTGTATCGACCCTTTGAAGCTCACAGTACTACCCCGTGGTCATTGACGACGTTACAAGGGAAGTATGAGTATATTTTCTTAAGTGTAATTATGATGCTTTTGATATATTTAGGAGGTGGAAAGCACGTGCAGTGGGAGTAGTGAGCCGATTTATGAGCAATCCTGATAGACAATCTAAGGTGGTGACTTTAGATGAATTGAGGTTGTGTTCAACCTCAATGGGCCTCGATGAGTGAAGAATGAGGTTTGGCGTTGTCATTGCAAATGAAGTAAAATGTTGAAGTTGAAGATGTAATCAGTCTTCAAGTGAGAGATTGTTGAGATATGAAGCCTGATTATATCCTAAAATTTAGGGATATAATTTGGATATTATATTCTAAATTTTAGAGATAGGATTTTGATACTATTGGCATAGACTTAGGCTATAAATATCCATATGTTCTCACTTTAACATGTATTTGCGTACTTTATAGTAAAATTCCTGGCTTGGCAGCGCT